ATTCGCAAATACGGAGGTCCCCTACTGGAGACAAGCTTTTAGCAAACGAAAAACCCGTTACTTTGGAAGCGTATTGAAGAACTTTTTGATTGTACTGATATGTTTGGTACTTATCGAAGCAAACTGTTTGTATGGAAATTTGCTTTATTTGTGCGCCTTTTGAGAAATCTTACTTCATTACCTAGATAAGCACTATGAGCGAGGCTGATGCTTCTCTCAGTGTGAAGGATGAGGAAATTGATGTTGCTGAAGTGGAAAAATATCGCAAAGAACGCGAAAATGAGCAGTTCCCGGACGAAATTGACACACCAGTAGATACCCCAGCTCGAATTCGCTTTCAGAGATATCGTGCGCTAAAAAGTTTCAGGTTTGTACGCAGTCTGCTGTTTTCTTTGTTTAAGTGCAAACTTACAAAACAATTTTTTCCCGATTTGCAGTTGAAAAATGTCGAATTTTGCTATTTGTAGTTCTCATGAGCTTTAAATATTTACTGCTTTTGCTATGCTCCTTCCTCTTGTCAATCTTCTATTGTGATAAAACATACTGAATTTTAGCGGGCGATAACAAAATAAAAACAAAGGTACCAAATTTCACTGAAAGTTCGATATCTTATTGAATGTAGGTTATTCAAAATTTGCGAGTACAGTAAGTCGCTGCTTTCATTTAAATCATCAAAGTGTCTTTCAGGACATCGCCATGGGACCCACTCGAAAATCTTCCTCAGACATATTCTCGTATTTTCAAGTTCGCTGATTACCGTCATTCGAAAAAAGTCGCATTGTCTGCTGTGGCTAACGAAAACGATTACAGTGCTCCGGGAGGCGCATATGTTTCCATTTACATTTCGAGAGTACCAACAGATTTAATAGGTTTACAAAAACTTTTTATTTTTAGATGAAACAGTACGCTTTGAGTTATATAATATGGTAATTTGTAGGGTAAACCTTAAAAACTTAATAAAACGGATTTTTGTTAGGCTTTGCTGAAACTTCAGAGGCCGGCCAAATTTACTGACAAATTTGTGTTATCTAGGTTATCTGGAATGTCGGTGTGGAGGTCGTTGCATGTTGAGAAACGCTGATGTGCCGGACGTGGTAATCCTAAGATATCCTATTTTTGCATTGCTACTCCACGTTTTGGCCCATTGCTTGCATTACATGCGCAGGCCACA